ATAGGTTCAACCATGCGCGCAGTACTGCGCGTTAGCCAAACTGGTATTCACATAAAGTGATAGCAGCTTATGACAAAAAGCGCTAAAAGAGGAGGGTCGCCGAATCACGGCGCCCGTCGCAGCAGCAGTGGGTCATGTGTTCCAATAGCTGTTATACAGAAGAGGTGAAGGGGGAGGGAAGTTGACACTAATGATTGGTGTCAGAAAGTGATAGCACTTGATATGCGCTGATAAGGACGAAAGAGCACATATGTCACCTAATTCCGCGCGTCGCAGGAACAGAGATAGTTGGTTCCCACATGTGGTCTAGCTGTTGGTAGTTGGTCGACGGTAGGTGAAAGAAAGTGATAAAATTTGGTGGAGGCTGATAAGGTGCTTTAGACTCAAATGATACCTATCTCATAGCGCGATTCACAGCATTACTGGAAAGTTGGACCCACAATTGAAAAAGTGGGAGTGACGGGAACATTAACGCTGTGCGACAGAGCAGAGTACTGATAACCAGTGGCACCAGTTAGTTTACAAATTAGTTTACAGGGGAGAACTGCTACACTACCGCGATTAATAAAATACGATTGGCTTGGTTATTGGCTCTCATGGTCAGCCGTTGCAGCATAATTCATTCGTGCTTTCTCGAGAGAAGGTACACATACGTGTACGACCGCTAGACTGGCTAGATTCCGGATGCGCAGTAGATGCTCACTGTGAGATAAGTAGCAATAAACAGCTTTATCATGGCTGCCGTAATTATCTTTCAACGGCAATCTTGATGTAAGGCGTCCTGCTGGAGACGGGCAAGAGCGTCATAATTTGCCGCCACGTGCGGCGATGGGCGAGGCGTTTTTTTCAACTCGGAATAGCCTATCGACTGGAGGACCGATTTGAAACTGTAGACATTTATGACTATTTTCGGTTCTACATTGCCTGTTGTCGCCATCTACGACCTGGAACCATCGTCATTTGCGAGCGCGACGTCGCACGCGACGCCCATCAGCGCGGCGAATTGCGATTCTCTTGTCCCCATCCATTCCCGCATGTGAAGGTGCATGCAGGGTAGGACGCTTCTGGAGTGCTTCAGCTTCGGGGTCACACTCAACCCTAGGACGCTTCAGAGGCTAGTTTGACATGTTGCTTCGGACTGACGCTAGTTACACGGTTTCCTGGGTAGATTCTAGAGAAAATAGAGAAAGAAGGAGGTACTGTGGCGGGACTTTTGGGAATTGTTGTCTTAAAACATACGCCGAGAGCTCAAGTCGCCGAGAGCTATGGTCGCGAAAGAGTGTATTAGCCACAAGGGTTGTACAGTCCTCATCATTGCGGACCGGTGGGGCGTGTCAGCCAGAAGGAGTGCGCACACTGTTGAAGCCGTTCTCAGCCTTTTTTGTTGCAACGCGTATGCGACAAAAAGTGGTAGAAAACGAGTAATACGAAGGATATAATACAGTAATGCACTTGCCCGCTTCAAAAACTGGTGCAGAACGATTTTGCCAAACCGCACCAAAGCAGCCGCACTGCCACGCCCCACCGGTCCGCAATGATGAGGACTGTACGTAAGGGTGTTGTTGTGAGAACTTAGACCAATGAGAGCTCAACATGCTTATGAAGAAATTGTAGGAAAAGTGATATTCTACAGAAATTCTACGGTTGGAATGAACTGCACTTTCCACCCGCATTCAGAAAGTCACTGCAAACAATTTTTTAGTTATTCTTTCAACAGAAAATTTACTCGCAAACCATAGCTCATTCACATAAACATAAGAGATACATGGGAGAATAGGAAAGAAAAACGAAAGAAACAGTGTGACTGCAGGGAATTTATGTTAGAAAAAGAAATTAATGCTATTTAGGAGGATGTGCTACGAATAATTCAAGGAGCAGTAACGGAGCTGAAGACTAGTGCTCGCAAAGTAATGCAACAATTGAAAAATTAGTTGTGGCCGTCAGTGAGGGAGATGTTCTGTCTGCTGGTCCGTCAGAGGACTCCAGGTAGGCCATCGTGTGGGAAGGACATCGAGTATCGTTGTTTTCCTTCAGCTATCTGAATTTGTGGATATTGCTCGTCGATCAGCTGGGCAGACTTGGTATGTCCACTCGACCTTCCAGCCATCGATTGTAGATGTCCTGATAGTGCTCAGAATGATGTCGATTCAAG